GACCTTGTCTCAAGAGAAAACCTCCATGACAAGAATATAAATAGTTAGGAATAGCTCCAAATGTCTACAAAATGAAATATCACACTAATTTACATATTTTTCCTCAACTGGAAGTATGGTCAGTCCTTTCAATGATGATCCAGAGTGTTGAAGTTCAGGTGCTTGTAGAGGAGCAGTAAGAGATAATCTACAATTTGCTGAGCAGAAAGGTGAAATTGCACTGATTAGCTTTTTGAATCACCAATCATATTCTGCTACTCAGAAAATTGTCTCTCTCATCAAAGTGACAACATGAGAACAAATACATACAATGTTCTCTGCAAATCTATTGCTTTGCACTGCATTCAGACATTTTATAAGATTTCTAACAGGCCACAGCAGGAGGACTGAGAAGAAAACCTTGTCCTGTTCTTTGGGATTATTTTTTTAACCTCTAGATAATGTCCTATGGTAAATACCTTCTTTTCCCCCCTGAAAATGGTGTAAATCTTTGATGGCATCACTTCCATCAAAGAATTATATCATGATTCTTCAACATTTGGTGAGCTTGTAGACACAATTCATTAAGCATGGCTAAACTTGCAGCAAAGTATAAACAGACTAGTTTCAGCTTTGGCACAGATCTGTATCCTATTATCATGATAAAGAACGCCACTGAGCAGCTGGCTGTTCTTAAGCTATTAAAATATTTGGAAAGGAGCAGAATGCCACAGTCCAGCATAAAAGGCTTCTTTCTGGTGATGAAAACAAAGTAGTAGTTCAGGTAGGTTTCTCAAAGAATATGTGGAAGGATGAAGATTTGCAAGCTATCGGCATGAATGTCACCATCGACACACACTATATATGTTCAGTGACAATTAAGGTGAGACTACCACAAATGTGAGAATGTATATGATGGAGTACTAGATGAGAACTGGGAAGATCCAGACAATACAACTTTTATTCCAAGGGTCAGCAAAACATCAAGACAAGGGACAAAGTGAGGTTCTGCAATGAGGGGGGAAACTGCCAAAAACCATTTATCCTCTTTTAACAACCATCAAAAACAAGAGCCAAACTCTCACTTGGTGACATTGGGCCAATTACTCTCTTCTAGTCTAACTTACCTAATAGGACTGTTGCAAAGATAAAACTGGGGACAGAGAGGGAAGCTCTTGGGTGGCGTAGTGTGATAAATAAAATAAAATAAAAGGAAACATGTTTACTGCTTTATGTTTTGCCAAAAACTCAGTACAGAAAGACATTATATAGTGAAGACTATCCATACAAATAAAGCTACTACCTAGTTATCATCATTTCCTAAGATCATGCTCAATACTAATGCCACAAAACAGAAACTTACCAATTACTGCAGCATAAGTTAACACAGAGGTGTCAAATTCATTTGTTATGAGGGCTGGAACTGACATAAAATGTAACACAAGGTACCGGAGATATAAACCTAATAAAGATGATTTTAGATGCCGAATGACAACAGCAGGTGTGATTGGATTAGATGTGATATGCAGAGGGGTGGAGATATCAGCATTGGTGTGATATACCGAGGCATGGAGTTAGTAACAGCACTGATAATGAGACAGGAAACCTAGGTCTCAGTTTGGTACAGGAGGATCAGTCCAGGATGGTGCAAAGCAGAGGTCATTTCCCCTGCTTCCGGCCGCCTCGCTTCCGGCCCTCATTCAGCCAGGAGGAGGAGGCAGGAAAAGAGGGAGGGTAAGTTGCTTCCTCCCTGCCTCTCCCCACCCCTGCCTGCCTGGGGCCAGGGAGGGCCTTCGTGGGGCTTCCTTGCACTCCCGCCGCCCTTGCAGGTTCACCGTCGGGCACCTCATGGGGCTCGGCAGTGGAGCTGCAAGTCTGGCGGCGGCAGCCAGGACCGTTGGGGGCGGGGTGTGTGGCCTTATGACACACTTCTGGTGATGTCAGGGGGTGTGGCCTTATGACACACTTCTGGTGATATCAGGGGGTGTGGCCTATGCTAATGAGTTA